ATTGGTAGTTAATGACTATAAGGTATATAGATACCAATACTATACAGGCAAGGGGGAAAAGTTAAAAAAATTATGCAATCCTTAAAGTACTACATAATTAGTAGCTATTATTAAATCAGGCAACTGACTGAAAAGCATTTATTGAAACACATAGTATTAAAACTATGTATTGCCAGAAATTTGCTAGAATACGAGATTAAGAAAGATAAAAATGCTGTCCAGGAGTTTACATTCCATACTAGGAGAAAATGTGCATGTATAAGTACCAACAAAATATTTATAAACTAAACAAAGATAAAGGAAAGTATTAGTATCTAGGAGTGATGGGATATACTGAAATGGGAAGCTACTTGGGGCAAAGAAGCCAAAAGGCTACTGTAACAAACCAAGTATAAGCAGTAAAAGACACAGAAGAGAAAGGTTAAAATCAACAGAAAAATGGTCAAATGATATGAAGAGGTAATTTTCAGAGCAATAAATCCAAGTTATTAACAGAAATATGAAATAATAGTCTAACTCACTAGTAATTGGAGAATTGCTAATTAAAACAAGCATATACCCATCAGATTGGCTATGATGATAAAAAAGGAAAATGACAAATGCTGGCAAGGCTATGAGAAAACAGGTACACTGCTTATGGAGCTCTGAACTAGTCCAACCACTCTGGAAAGCAATTTAGAACTAAATTGCTGCTAAATAATACAACTATTACCTCTCTCAAGAGAAGGAAGGAAGAAAAGGTTCAATATATACAGAAATACTTACAGCAGCTATTTTTGTAGTGGCAAAGAACTAGAAACTGAGGGGATGCTCGTCAATCACAGAACAGCCTTAGCAAGTTATCATATGTGAACATATGATTGTACTATAAGAAATGATGAAGCTGATGGTTCTGGAGATGGGAAGGCTTCTATAGACTGATGAAGAATCTGAAGAATATTTTGATAAAGTAGCTGTGCTTATTCCTTTACTCAGCTATCCTACTGACTTCTCCACTCTACCTTAGAAGCCTTCTCACACCAAAAGATCTGTCTGCCTTTAAAGGTCATCATGAATAGCTTCCCACCCACCCATACACCCAAACCTACACCCACTTTTTTAAGTATTATCTCCATTAGAAAGAGGGAAGAACAGTCTTTTTTCCTTGTAGTTCTGTTCCTAGTATCTCGATAAATGCTTGTTCAATCAACAGACTGAAGAAGCAAAGAGCATCTAAGACTAGAGTTGCAAATAAAGAAAAAGGGTGAGAAAAGAGTCACCTAAACATTGCAGAAATAAAAAAAAACACAAAAAAAAGTAGGAGTCAAACAACTAGCAGAACAGTTTTTAAAATATTATGTGGTTATTATATAGTTAAAAAAAGGAACAGACTATCAGTTTCATTCTTTTGTTTCCATCTTATAGTCCATAGAAGTGCTTATTTTAACTAATGTTACTAAGTTCAGAATTTTAGATAGAATAGAAATTTTAAAACATAAAGGCACCAGTAAAAAAAATTATCACCCTTACTTAAGTGTAAATGTAACTGTAAAAATGACATGAAATAAAATAAAATAAACATATGGTCTCAGGCAATATGATAAACGATTTTTTTACACCTCTAAATTGCTATTTTACATATAACTAACACAGCGGATCTTAACTTACCTTCTGTATAAAGGTTCAATAGTTACATGTATAAGCTGACAAAGGGCAAAAGCTATTGCTTTCTGTGTAGTGGCATAAAAGAGAGGCATCTGATCCATAATATCCTGGGCATGCTGCCAATCACCAATCTTCAACAATGCTTCCAATAAACCAAGTTTCTGGTTATCATGTGGCTAAAAGAAAAGTCATGATATAAATAAACCTTTCCCAGCAAACAAAAATGAAACTGTTCCCATTCTAAATAACAATAATTATTGTTATTACTATTATTATGATTATTTTATAACATTTATACAGCACCCACTATGCATACTTTTCAATTCTTTCAATTTGTTCCTCACAACAACCCTATAAGATAGTTGCTACTTTTATCCCCGTGTTAAAGTTGAGGAAACAGGACAAACAGATGATAAAAACAGCTAAGTGTCTAAGGCTCACTGGAACTCACGTATTTCTGACTCCAGGTCCAGCATTATGTAAACTGCAGCACCCCCTAGCAATTGAGGGTTAAAGTTTTGTCATAATTAACAAAACTAGCCTTATGACAAAGCATATTGCTAACTTTTGTGATAAAGAGAAACTCAATTATTAGAAACTGCATTTCACCGAAATCATGAATCATGTTTAGTCAATTTTGTCCAAATTATTATTTAAGAATGTATTGAACATTATCTCTACATATTAGGACTGAAAAATCTGAGATGAGGTACATATCTTCAAGGATTTCAGTCATAATGAAATGAAAGTAACATTTCTATCATAGCAATATCTTTTTTACTATTTCTTTTTCTTTCTCTTTTTCAACAGGCTTCTCAAGGAAAAATACAAGCACGGCAGATTTTGAAACTATCTGCAGATTCCACAATCTCTTATGTATGTTCTTCAACAACAGCATTATCTGGGGCAGCTAGGTGGCACAGTGGATGGAGCACTGGCCCTGAAATCAGGAGGAACTGAGTTCAAATCCAGCCTCAGACCAAACACTTCACAAAAGAAAATAGCATTTTCTACTGGAAGAAGCTAAAAATAAGAATTTATTAAATTGTGGCACATCTACCGGGTGAGTGAAAAGAGTGAGTGCAAATCTGGTCTCAGACACTTAAACTAGCTGTGTGAACCTAGGCATCTCACTTAATCCTATTTGCCTCAGTTTCTTCATTTGTAAAATGAACGTAAATGGCAAACCACTCAAGTACCTTAGCTAAGAAAAGCCCAAGCAGGGACACAAAGAGTCAAACACAACTGAACAACAAAAATTACATAAAATAGTTAATTACATATTTTCCAAATGCAATTACATGTTAAGTAGGAACAGCAAATAAATTCTCAATTTCCTCTACAAGTAATGCTGCCACTGACTTCTCAGCAAAAAGACTGAAAAAATTAAAAAATTAAAGTTCTTAACAACAATGTCTTAGGTACTATTAAACTGTCAAACATCAGAAATCAATCTGATTTTGTTAACTGACATACGATTCCTGAATCACTCTCTATATTTAAAAAACCATGGGAAATATGATAGTGTTAGGCACAGAATACAGGTTGTCTTGACTCACCCTTGAAATTTCATATGCTGTTTTTCAGTCCAACTCTTCGTGACCCCATTTGAGGTTTTCTTGGCAAAGATACTGGAG